GAAAGGACTTTTTTTTCCCCCTGAGCAGCAGGCCTCAACAATGGGCTTAAAATACTCAGTAAACCATGTCAATAGATGTGCCATCATCCAGGCTTTGTTGTTCCATTTAGAGAGCACAGACAGAGTAGATTTAGTATCATTCTTAAGGACCCTAGATTTTTGCAGAGGAATATGAGCATTGGCTTCACCTTAAAGTTACTACCAGCGGTGTTAGCCCCTAACAAAGAGAGTCAGCCCATCCTATGAACCCAGGCATTGACTTCTCTTCTCTGGCTGTGAAAGTTCTAGATGGCATCTTCTTCCAGTAGAAGGCTGTTTTGTCTCCATTGAAAATCTGTTGTTTACTTTCATTAATGATCTTAGCTAGATCTCCTGGATAACTTCCTGCAGCTTCTGCATCAGTGATGGCTGCTTCACCTGGCACTGTTACGGAGATGGCTTCTTTCCTTAAACCTCATGAACCAAACTCTGCTAGCTTGAGACTCTTCTTCTGTAGCTTCCTCACCTCTCTCAGCCTTCATAGAAATGAAAAGAGTTTTAGGGCCTTCCTATGGATTTGTCTTTGGCTTATGGGCATTGTAGCTGATTTGATCTTCTATCCAGACCACTAAAACGTCCCCATATCAGTAATAAGGCTATTTTCCTTTCTTATCATTCATATGTTCACTAGAGTAGCACTTGACATTTTTTTCAACAACTTTTGCTTTGTATTCCCAAGTTGGCTAACTGTTTGGCACAAGGGACCTAGCTGTTGGCCTGTCTCAGCTTTCAACACACTTTTCTCACTGAGTTTAATCGTGTCTGGCTTGACTTAAAGTGAGAGACATGCAATTCTTCTTTTCACTTGACCACTTAGATCCATCACAGGGTTATTAACTGACCTAATTTCAATATTGTTGTTTCTTAGAGAATAGGGAGGCAGAGGAGAGAGAGATGGGGGAACAGCTGGTTGGTTGGAGTAATCAGAGCACACATGTTTATCCGTCAGGTTTGCCATCTTATGTAAGTGTAGTTTATGGTGCCCCCAAACAATTATAATAGTAACATCAACTAGTCCCAGATCACCATAACAAATGTAGTAATAACAAAATAGTTGGAAGTATTTTGAGAATTACCAAAATGTGACACAGAGACATGAAGTGAGCAAGTGCTTTGAGAAAAATGGTGCCAGTAGACTTGCTCAACATGGGATTGCCACGAACCTCCCATTAGTAAAACATACTGTCTTTGAAGCACAATAAAGTGAGGTGCAATAAGATAAGGCGTGCCCCCAGTTAAGCCGCTGCCGGGGCCAAGCTGGAAACTCAACTGGCTGTCCTAGGTGAACTGGGAGGTATGTGCTTTCTAGGAGAACAAGGTCCAGTCAGTACACATAGAGTAAAAGAAAGGTCTAGTTTACATGATTGAAAAGATGGTGATCAAACTGGAAAATGAGACAGTAAAGAGAACAGATTTGTAAGAAGGTCAAGAAATTGGTTTTGGACCAAACAACAGTTAGTTGATTCTCTAAGGTGTTACTTTGTTAACAGATTCCTAAAATTTTGTATTCATCCTTAATAAAACAAGTTAGGATGGTTTACTTTGGTTTTCTAGATTGGAGTCTACTGCACATACATCAGAGAGCTCAGAAGAATTCTTGGAAGAGGGACCTGAACAGAATGTGATGGAATTTGCAGATGGAAGTAGTGATAAAGACGTTCGGCCAGCACCAGAAACCCAGCCACGCCTGGAAAAGCAAGATGGTGAAAAGGTATGAGATTCGCTTATTAAATAAAATGAATGGAAGTAACCAATTTTAACTTTCTTAATCATATATGGTTAGAAAAGTGCAATGATATATTTTAGACTGTTAGTGGGAATTGGATTTAATGCTAAAAAGCATGTATGTCTGTATTAAGCAAGATCAGGAAGTGTAGGATAAAGTTACAGGTACTTTGTATTTCAAACTGAGTTTATAAAGGTTGACTTACTGAGAACATAAAATAGAGGATGTTTAGATAGCCATGTCCCTCAGTGTATTTAAGATACAAATTAATTTGTGGAATTAAACATACTTAAGAAGTGACACAAGTGATGTGACTATACAAGGTCTGCCTTATAAAACAAGTTAGAACACTTGGAGGTTCAACAGGCCCCCCGTTGCACTCCTATTTTGGTTAGAAGGGCAGAATTAGTTGTCCAGAAAAAAATATGTATTTGACCACAATTGACTTATAAATTCCTGGAGAGATAACTAAATGCATTTCTTCTTTAACACTAGAAGACAAGTAGGAAAATCCTTTGTGACTGAGTAAACTTTTTATCTGGCTTGATTTCTGCAGCTCCCCAATTATTTGTCCCTTTCTTTCTTCTTCTCTATTTCCTGTCCTGTTCTTCTTCAATATCTTCAGTCTTTCCCTGTCTATAGATTTCTTATTTCTTCTTTCAGATGTGCTTAAGTTGCTTTAAAAATCGTTTGCGTGTTTGCCAGTCCAGCCAGGAGCCAGTTAAGCAAGTCAAACTGCATTGCCAATTTCACTTCCTTAACTTGCTCCAGTTTAGCTCTTCTTTCCTCTGCCTCATGAAACTGTATGTTTAAATGGCATTTCTTCTTTTGTTGTAGAAAATGGGGAGAAAAGCACATATTTTAAAAAGGGATTTATCTGTTTCTAGATGTTTATGGGAATGTGTATTTGTGGGACTTTTTCTCTTTAAAAACTTCAGATTATACTGTATGTACATCATGTAACCTGTTTCTTTTGTCCAATGAACTATTGAGCAAATACTCTTACAGGTGACCAGTGACACTTTCATTCAATTCCAGTGGCTTTCCTTACCTCGACTGACTACTCTCTCTTCCTCAGCATTCTCTGTTCTGACTTCATAACATGACTGTATTTTTTTTAGTTTTTTCGTTTTCTTGTCTCTGAAGTTTTGGTTTGGTTTTATTTGTCTGCTTTTTGAGTGTTCTGTTTCCTGTTTTTTTTCCTTATATTTGTGGACGTTCTTGAAGACTCAGTTCTTGACTTCCTGCTCTTTGGTTCATGCACCTAGTCTAATGGCTCCATTGTCATCTCTGTGGGGATGACCAGTAACTAGACTTCCAGCACTGATCCAGACTGTAGTCCTATAATGTTACTTGCCTTCTAAATATTTCTATTTAGACAGATGTCTTTTATCTTAAATTCAGTGTCTCTATTCTTTCCTGTCACTTCAGTATTGAGCCTTTTTTCCTATTTATTTTTCATTCTGTTTCCAAACATAAAACTTGAAGGACTGAGTTTTTCTCTCCTGTTGCTTCTCACTTTTAGTTACTCACCAAAATTTTTTTGTTTTACAAAAGCTTTTGCTGTATTTTTCTCATTTTCTTTCTTTTAACATTCTCCTACCCTAATTGGTCCTTCTATGAGCTTTATTATAATTACCTTCTGTGTGCAATTTATTCTTTATACTACCTGGCCAGATTAATTTTCTAAGTCTCTGATCTCACTATTCCTAGGGAAAATGATTTCAGGGGTCCTATATAATCCATTCAAATCTATTTCTTAAAATGAGCGCATCGCTTTTCTAATTTTTAAAATGATAATAAAATAAAATGCCCTCTAATTATTAAAATGTCACTAGGATAAATTAGAAATATTAGACATTAAATGGAAGTCTTGTTAATCAATAAACCTCGGAGGAAGAAGTTTCAGAAATTGGAAGGTTTGTGTTATCAGATTGCTTTTCCATATTTTAATGGGATTTAAGGAGCAGGATTGTTCAAAAATGACCCTGGGTTGACTGGACAATGAGCTGACCAAGCTGGGTCTCTCTTCTCCCAGGAGGAAGCTGAAGCCAACTCGGCTTCCCTCAGGACTTGTAGTACTTCCTCCCCCCGGCAGCGTGAAGTGCAGCTTCCCACAGGCTCCAAGATTCCAGCTGCTGAACAGCGGGTGTTCTGTTCAGAGCCGGCACCAAATTTAGACTTTCTCTGGTGTCTTTTTACTGAAGTTCTTCCTGTGATTGCCGCATTAGAAGGATGAGCAAGAAGGAGTCAGGGTCACTTCACTGAATCTCAGACGCACCCTGGGTCTGCAGGGCATCCCGGTCCTGTCCTCTCTCCACGAGGACAGCGGGGATTTCGGGTGCATATGGACTCTTTTCTCTTACTGACTCTACTGTTCCTTAACCTGTGCCCTGTGATGTGGTAGAATGTATCTTGAGTTCTGAGGGGAGCTGAGAATGGACCCATCTTGCATGACAAGTAAGTTAATCTGTAATGTGTCCTGCCTTTTTTCCCCTCTGTGGTGTAGGAATCTGAATTAGAGCCCGTGAATGGTGAGATAATGGATGATACTCTTAAAACTTCACTTATGCCAGAAGAGGAGGACTCCACTAGTGAAGTTTTAGATGAAGAATTAAAATTGCAGTCTTTTAATTCCAGTGAAGATTCTACAAATCTTGTTCCACTGGTGGTAGAATCTTCAAACCCCCCTGAGGCTGCTACTCAGGATAAGGTAATGGGGGGAAATAACCAAATTTTTTTTATAGTTAGAGTGTTCCAGTGTTGATGGCTTGGCTGGGGCACTGTAGGATATATATTTGCCTCAACTTTAACATGCACAGTCCTTCTGGAAAATTAAATTATACTAGATTTGGTATTTTAAGTTGCAGTCAATAATATTCCATATATTTGCATCTTTTGTAACCTTATTCATTCATATCTGGATAAAGCATTATTTACCAAATATTTGAATACCTATTGCTTACGTAGTCTCTGACCAACATAGTCATTTTAATTTGTTTTAATTAGGGAGACACTAATTAGACAGTAATTCACAACACTGTAAAATGATTATGAATCAATAAAAAATGTTAAAAAAAACAAAAAAAACTAATTAGACACTAATTAGATCAGATTAGTGAGGAAAACTTGAATGGAGTATTTTAAAATAAAATTTTTTTTGAAATAAAGTTGATGTATAACATTATGCGAGTTTCATGTGCGCTGCATAGTGATTTGATTTTGCATACATTGTGAACTGATCACGGTAAGTCTAGTAACCGTCTGTCCACCATACAAAGTTGTTACAATATTATTGATCATACTCCTTATGCTGTGTATTATATCCCCATGGCTTGTTTATTTTTATATCTGAAGGTTTGAACCTCTTAATCTCCTTTACCTGTTTCAGTCTCCTTACTTTCTCCCTTCTGGCAACCATTCATTGTTCTCTTTATCTGAGCCTGTTTTCATCTTGTTTTGTTTCTTTGTTTTGTTTTTTAGATTTCACATGTAAGTGAGACCCTATGGTGTTTGTCTTTCTCTAACTTACTTCACCTAGCATAATACCCTCTAGGTCCATCCATGTTGTTGCAAATGGCAAGATTTCATTCTTGTCTTTATGACTGAGTACTATTCGATTTTTGTGTGTGTGCGTGTGTATGTATCTAAAAAGAATTTAATTTTTACTTTTGAATATTCCAATTTAAGGCTAAAAAACTATCATAAAGCATTATTTTTATTAGCGTTTCACATAATTAAATGAATGCCATTTCCACTGCCCTCACCTGTCATCTCATAGTCGAAACTCAGTGGGGTGGCACGGTATCAGGTTCCCAGGACTCTTGGTTCTGGCTCCAGGAACACCAAGAGACTAAAAACAGTTGGTTCTTGGTTTTGAAGAATCTTGATATAAAGTTTAAGTGTCTTAAGTACTTTTTGAGATAAAATTACTTTTACTATATATTTAAAGCAAGAATTTAATGTATCCAAATTATCATGCAAGACAGTTTTGAAGAAATTGAGCTGTATTCAGAATATGTGCCCATGCTTAACAAAAGTAATGAGTACTGAATCCTCTAAAACACAGTTCAGGGTCATTGTGTAGCAGTGTCTGAGAATAATTGATGTAAGAACTATATTGCAAAAGTTCACCAGGTTTTCTGTTTTTAGACTTCACGTATAACTGACTCAGAAACCTTGCTAGACGAAGGCCCATCTGATGAAAAAGGGCACACTGAGGAGAAGCTGCCTCTAGTTTCAAGAAAGAAAGCTCACTTTGGCAGTTCAGACAACGCTGCTACTATCCCAAATGAAGAACGGTCCGACAGTGGTTTTCCAAACTCTGTGGTCACTGAATTTTCTGAAGAATCGATCTCTGAAAATGTGTCACCCAACACTACTTCCTCATTGGAAGACCAGGGTGAGGAGGGGGTCCCTGAGCCCCAGGAAACGTCTCCGGCTCTCCCGCAGAGTTCTTTGATAGAGGTTGAACTTGAGGATGTGCCATTTTCACAGAACGCCGGACAGAAGAACCAGTCAGAGGAGCAGTCCGAAGCATCTTCTGAGCAACTGGATCAGTTTACACCATCAGCAGAGAAAACTGTGGATAGCAGCTCAGAGGAGATAGAAGTGGAGGTGCCTGTCGTGGACCGGCGGAATTTAAGAAGAAAGGCCAAAGGGCACAAAGGACCTGCAAAGAAGAAAGCCAAGCTGACCTGAATAAAGAAGAAATGCAGATGAAAAAGCCTCTTCTTTGTTACGTAATTGTCGTTTTTAAAATATGGCAACTAATAAATAGCATGGGACACAGGATAAAAATTCCAAATTTTCAATTCGAACTTATTTATGATGCTGTTTTTCCCTCCCCCATAGGATCTAGAATTCACTGTTCTTTTTAATTTTTCAGGCTATTTTGTGTAAATACAACTTTTTAATTTTTATTAACCATGTTTCGATTTGGGGAAACCAGATCATACTATATTTTCATTAGTAGTTGGGGGCTATCTGACCATTAATATTTCAGAAAATACAAAGTGAAAAACTGAAAGTAGTAGAGTTCCCATCAGTTGTAAGGATCACAGAAATCTTTTATACTAAAGGTTTTAATAGTAAATTTGGTGAAGGTTCTAGAAGTTTTATCCTAAATATCAAAACTAATCACCATTTTTTAAAAACGTAGGCATGCTTAAACAAAAATGTCAGTAAATTAGGATAAACATAACTTCAACTAAATGAGAGCACAAATTCAGAAATGTGTGGTCAAAGGTTTGTGAAGGTGGGTATTTTGGCCTTTCAATTCTTAGTTGAAGGTGCAAGTTTCTTCCTTTGACTTCACTCTTTATAACGTCTGGTATTAACAGTACTGCTAGGGATTTAACTCTGGCATGTCGACAGTATTACTATTTAAAATATCATTTGAAGCCGGGACTACACTTTTGTCCTCACCCAATTAACGTGTATACTTTAGAAGTGTGAGAACCTTTCCAAAGGCTTCTCCTTAATCTGCCACTGCCTTTATTCTAGAATCTTCTTTATATTCCCCTCAGCTTTCATCCACTTCCCTAACTCATGGAGTGATTCCTGTCTGAAGATCTGCTTGCCTGCCTGCCTGCCTGCCTGCCTGCCTGCCTGCCAGCTTATGTCCTTGGCTTTCATTTTTGGTAGGTTTGGAACTGCGCCCCACAATCTTAGACTGAGACGGCAGGGATAAGCTACTCTAGGAACCGCAGTTATGAGAACTTAAGTCAGATCAGAGCTTCGTTTGTCCCTTCGGGCTTACTCCCTCTTGATTTGTTCTGTGAGGGCAGGTTACAAGCAAGCTAGCCTCTGTGTGTACATTGAGTTGCCAGAACAAAGGGCTTTGCCTGGGAAAACTGAAAGCAAAAAATAAACCCCAAAACCCCCAATTGTTTTTTTTTCTTTTTTTTTTTGTTGTTGTTGAAGTAATTTATTTAAAAATGAACAAAATGGTTATTCTTATGATCCAAAGAGAATCTTGAAACAATCCTACTTTTTAGACCTATTGTATGTACTCAGATTTTCACTTAAGTTTGAGAATGCTTTGAGATCATTTAGGTTGTTTTTAAAACTGCTTGGTCCTTAAATGAAAAAAATGTGTTGTGACTTTGTGTCATTATTTGAGGTGCTAAGGATTGACGTTGAAAGTTTATTCAGTCTACTGTCAGGTGACGTTGTTAAATTTTATTTTGGGATGTTGGCATTTCAGAAAGATTTAAAGTTGAGATGAAATCTTTAGCAGGCAAAATAGCAAACCCTCCTTATTCATGTAGAATTTTTGAATACTTGTGTCCCCTACATTTTCTTTAGTTTATTGGTCAGAGGTAAGCTAGACCATTTCATTCTAAGTGAAAGTTAAGCTCTTTGACCATTTGTTTTCTTAACAGATGCTAATCAAGTGAAAGAATAAGTATGACTTAATACTAGTGTATCTATCAAACATTTATGCTGTTTTATACATTTTGTGAGAAATTTTTGTTAATACCACAAATAGGGAAATAAAGATTTAGTAAATTCTTAACCTTTTCATTTTTAATTTCTTAAAATAGGTTTAAAAGCCTAACACTGATTTACTTTTTTACTTGGATTCTTCATTGTTCTCTTTAAAATACTTTCTTTAAAGTATTTTAGTGTATAATTTAAGACTGAGCTCACTGACAACTCTTAACATGTGAATAGTCGCTGAGTTTACAAAAAAGGTTAGTTATTCATATATGATCCCTAAGGACTAACAGTATAAACTTATTAAACTTGTTTGGTTTATTCTTAAACAGTAAGTGCATTTTAAGAAGTTTCAGAACTTTTTGTTTAAGTAAGAAAATTTCTGTCACGTGTCTCTGACAGAATGTTATTTTGGGGTTTATAGATGGTAGAGGAAAAAAAAGTTAGGTCACATGGAAAAACCGAATTTTCGAGTTCCGTAACGACGAGTTCTATACTCAGTAGGTGAGGACAGACTTTGTAACAGCATTTATCCTCAATAAGGAATCTAAAGAAAACTTAATCAGATCACTTACACTTTTTGCAAAAGGCATTAAAAAACCTCTGGGAATTCCAGAGGATTGCAGTCATACTTCAGCCAGATAAGCTAGTTGTTGAGTGTCCAGTCACATTTCTGTAGTCCTTTGTGAACTGCTTTTTTCTGTTTAGAAGTCTCATTTGTGGAGAAGGGAAGTTCACTTCAGTTTGTATAAATACGTATATATTTCCTTGTGTAATATAAAGCAGACAGTTATTAGCAAAATTTTAGTTCTACTTTCAAGTTTAAATTATTCAATTGCTAGACATCACAGAAATATATTGAAGAATTTATTATAAAGTTCCTCTACAACTTTTAAAGGTGAGAGGGTCTATTATGGTTTTTTATAAAATCAAATAGCATGACAGAATGTCTATCTTCTACTACTTAAAATGTGTCTATATTCATGGTGTTTCCATTCAGTGCAGAGAATTATCATGGCAAGGATAAAAATTGCTAGTGATTAATGGTTCACTTTTAGCTGACCACCGAACACCACCTAAAAAGGTTTCAGTGATTGTAGAAAAATATCTTGAAGGTTTATGATTGCATCAAATTGAGCCTTTACCTAGTATCTAAATACCTGCTCTTACATTCTGCTTTACCCTTAGGGATTACCTTCTAAGGTTTGGTCACACCAGCAAACTGAAACAGATCTTAATGTAAATAAAAAATTTATACTAACATTACTCATCTGTGTAACAGTATTTTAGAAGTTTCTGCCTTGTATGTCCACTAGTAGCAATATGATGTTTGAAGTGTTATCCAGTCTTTCATGGGTGTGATTAGTTAAAATGTTAATGCTTCTGTTTGCATACTTAGTATCAAGCTTTATTTGTACAAGCTAGTTAACTTGCTTATTTTTGGTTGTGAAAAATAAGCAAACCTCAGTTCTGTATCTAGTGTTTAGCTAATTTCTTTTCTTTCATCCTCCAAAACTTGTTATTCACACCTTTCCCATTTCTCTTAGTGGCAAAATCATTTGTTAAACTTTTAAGTGTAAGGAAGGTTAGCTTCTGTTATCTTGAAGTAATTGTGTCATACTGGATAGCCACTCCGGAGGAACTAGCCTTTCTTTTCCTAAGTGTCTCTGTGTTCTAAAACTTTACTGTGTTTATAGAACTTAGAAAAGATGTTATATTATTCAGAATAGCAAGATTTACTCAAGTACTTATGTTTGTTTTCTTGGTAGTTTTTTTTTTTTAAACAGTAGTAATTAAATCTATATTTTGTGATTGTTTCCTGGTCTGTGTTTTGAAATTCCTTCCCTTTCCCCTAATTTCATTGGTGAAGATGTGTTTAGATACCGAGTTTGTTTAGACATTGATTTTTGTTAATGGCACAATTTAATCACATTGGTTGTACTTTCAAGACAAGACTTTAAAAAATAAACAGAATTTAAAACAATTAATGTGATTATAAATTAATGTAATATATAGGCACCCTAAGTCTCAGTCACAAACGTTAACTCAGATCGTAGACATGTTTTTGACAACTCTATAGCATGACCCTTTTAATGTTATCTAAGTAAGTAGATTTCTCTCTAAGGGTATCAGTGTAGTCTTTTTTAAAGTATTTTACCTGGGATTATTTAAACAAATTTTTACCGTTCTAAAAATATACAACCCTAGGTTTAAAGTATAGAAAATGCTTAAAGTACAACCATTTTGGTGGGTCTTTTTTCTTTTTCTTTTTCAGTAAAGGTAGATTTGTTCAGAAAGATACATACTCCATAGACAGAGTGCAGGTTGTTTCAAAAGGCAAGAGAGACAAAGGTCACGAGATGTGGGGGTTGGGTACTTACTTTAAAGTAAAAGTAGATACACACTCCATAGACAGAGTGTGGCCCAGCTCATTCAGAAGGGAGAGTGGCCCATTTTGGTTTATTTTTCTCATATGTCTTGAATAGAAAATATAGTTCCAAGTACATGGTATTATACATGATGAATGAGAGGGGAAAAATGTTTAAAATATTAATTCCCTCCATGACTTACTGTAGGAAAAAGTTAAGGATTAATTAGGGGTAAAAAGTTTTATCTAAGTTCTTCTGAACTTTATAGTGTAGTGTGCCTTCTCTCATATACTTTTAGTTTATAAAGTATTTTCATTTAAACGTTGTGTTAATGCTGTATTTCTTAGGATTCTTAGGATCAGTAATCTACGATGAGGTGGAAGAGACCTTGGGTAGACATGAGTTTCTTGGCCTAGACCTCACATTTAAGTACACACTAACCTTTATGATAAAAGGTGTTTTCAACTACAGTGGCTTTTCTAATAATGACAGACCTGCACTGCTTAGTACCACTTATTAATGCAGATACTGAGGAAGCAGGATATTTCTATAATTGATTTTTTAATCATTCAGTTTTATGGACATCTAAACACTGAACAGACACAAAAGACCAATTTGTAAAACTAGGCCATTTTAATGTTTGTTTATTTTATAACAATAAAGTAGTTTTCTTGATGACTACAGACATGTAAGGCTGATTGGCAGTATTCAGAAACATCACAGTAATAGTTTCCTGATTGAGGTGTAATTTTCAGTAACTATAAGGAGTTATTTGTGTGTAACCGCTATCAAACCAGTAAGACGGCATTTATGCAGCCATCATTTTCAGGGTTGTTGGTAACCTGGGCGTATTTTCCTAAGGGAAACAAAACAGAAAAAGGAGAGATGTTAGGTAATAATTAACTTTAAAGAATACATATAACCTTTGCCCAAAATATTTATAGTTTTAGAAAAGAAAAAATGAACAATAGTAGGATAGGTGAAATTTTATAAAATTAAATCACTCAGGACCAAGCTTGAGTTCCGAATATAATTTTTATATAAATACTGTTTTTACAAATGGCCAACTCCATACTGTTAGCAAGTTGTATTAATAATAAGCCTTTGTGCATTGACCTGAGCATTACTATTGTCCCACACCATTCTCACTGGAAAAAGCACCAAGTATTAAGTTTCAACCTATTAACAACCTATTTTAAAATTGAGGACAGCCAACATGAAGTACATGCCAATGACTCGTTGAAGTTTCAAACTATAGAGTGCATTCTTTTAAAGAATATTAAAGTTTAGAAATATCAGGGTACTAAAAGCAGAAAACTAAGAAAATGAGGAAAAAAATTTAAATCACTGCATGATGTATTTCAGGTTTAAATTATTACTGAAATAGTGTGGCTATGTTTGATGTTTGCCTCCCTTTCCCCATTCATGGTTATTTTATTGTATTTTCTAACAGTATTTTTCAGTTATAATCATACTTCCCATCTGCTTTCCTCGTAATGCCTTTTTAAATAAACAGCATCAAAAAATATCTAGCAATGTAGTATATCTTATATAACTGAAGCCATAACTTAAGAACTGCATTCATAGCTACTTTTTCTACAAAAAGTATTCTTAAAGATTGAAATCTGATTCACATCACGTTTAACTGCACTAAAATTTGCTTTGTCCTTTGTCAATTTCAGGATTTCTATTTTAGAATTCTAACACCAGTAGCCCCATATTCAAAAATTAACTTACCCCAGATGACCTTGCCTCCCTGTGTCACAAGGCCCAACTCGCTCACGTTCACTTCAATGACGGTACCTTTGGTGATAACACCCAAGCTCGTGTATAGTGGGGATGAGGGATTCTTCTTCACACCAAGTATCGGCAGGCAAAAGGTAGCTTTCAGCTCAGGATGTGTTACGTGGGCCTTCTTGAAACGTAAGCCCTAGTAAGTCAAACACAAGAATGTTTTGAATCGAAAATGTTAAGTATGATGAATAATGATCCTTTTTGCTTATCTTTTCCAATCATTTCCCCATCCCGCCAAAAAAGGACTGAATAATGTCCAATCTTAAGGCATCACAGCAAATACTTAGAATTAATCCTACAGACTAAAAACCTGACAGTTACAGGAAAGTATATAGGGAAAACACCCAAACATGTACTGAAAAGTTTTCACTGTGGAACAGCTAGCCAGCATCATACTCAGATTTTCCTCTATTTAGTTATCTACACTCACTGAAGACTTGCTACATACCAGGCACTATGCTGGAACTCACAAACAGCTCATTTAAACATGATAACCTTAAAACTCCTCCTATTTTTTTTTAAACTATAAAACAAGGATCAGCAGATTAAATGACTTGTTCTCATACTAAACAGTGTGAGGATGGAATCAAACTTAAGTATCCTGATTCCAAGTCTTTGTATGCATCAGCCACCTTTCATGATGAAAAAGTCTGTCAGCTTTCTTTGTGCTGATGA